CTAGCGAGCTGTGAGAGCCGCGGCAGTGCGATCGGATCCGACCGACCAAAGAACAGAGAAAGTGAACGCCGGATGCGCGACAGAGACTCACTTATGCGGGAATGTTTGTAACGCGAGAAAGAAGGAACGAGCCGAACGACGGCGAGGACATGACCGCCCCTTGGCATCGGCCTAGCGGCACCCGCTCCGACTGCCCCGGCAAAATTCAAGATTTATGATGAGATGTTTCTCGCGAACGTTTCACCTACCGTTCGGTCGTTGTCGCGGACCACTTTTTGTTTTTCTTTTCCAGTCTAACTTTTCTCCGATACGATCTTTGTCATAGGGAGGCAGTTAGGGGCAGTGTTCGACAACGGACGATTCTATTTTTATTCTATCAGCATGAAATTTTCTTAGACGTAACAACATCTTCTAGAGATAGAGAATAATAGAAATAAGAAAAGAAGAGAAAGAAATGTTTATTAAGCTTAAGAACTTATTACACGTTGGCCTATTCTCGTTGACTCGAAGAAATGCTCGTTGCATAGGGTAACCAGAGTCCAGCAGCCGGCACTGAATGAGTTCAGAGGAAGACGATATCAACGAGGGAGTCGTTTGTGTGACGAGGAGGATCTCGATCGTGGAAGCTTGCGACGGAATCGTCGGTGGTGGGTGAACAGGTTACGCCGGGAGAAGGGGATAAATTACGAGAGGAAGATGACGCGCCGTGACGTCCACGAGGGCGTAACGAGGACGACTGCAAACGACACGAACATCCCCGATCTCGTCCGAGACGCACTCGACTGGCCAGCCGTTCAGAAGACGGAGACGGAGCTTGTGGAACGATCGCTGGTGAAAAAGAGAAAACGAGCCGCGCGGCTGGTGTGGACGAAGACGAAGAGGATGATAGAATAGACACCATTGGAACGACGGAGAGCTTTTTCGCAAGCTGACCACGCGCTCGTATGCTTCGCAACGGTGAACCGCCGAGAAGGACGGACAAACGCGTTGCACCTAGATGGACAGGAACAGAGAGCTTTTCTACTTTATCACGCTGCCCCTGTGTACGTGTGCGTGTCTACGTCGAGGTGTAATGGGGGCTTTCGAGGCGATGGTATATGCTGATATCGGATAGGCTGGGCACGTGCAAGCTTCGGACGAATGCAACGGAAATTAGGCAGGCTAAGATGGTTTATGTAGGAACGTTGATTATTTCTATTTTACAAAAGAAGCATAACTGGCTACTAAGATGGTTTATATAGGAATGTAGATTATTTCTATTTTACAAAGAAAGAACAATTGATTGCGGAAGTATAAAATGATATTTAAAATGGTACTACGAGAATGCTGTCATTCTAAAGCAACTTATCGTAACATAAATTATTATTCTAAAGCAAGAAAACTTTAAACTGTATTTAGTCAATTCAGAAAGTACACGATATTTTTTCCCTTTTTTAAGCTGATACGAGCCTCAGTGAACGACATTAACGATAACAATCGAGTACTTTTATGTCCTCTGGAAGAAGCGATTCATTTGATGTTGCTTCGACGAAGATAGCGCGAGGAAGAGCGCGAATGGTTTCGGTCATGCGCGATTCTCGAGAAAAGAGAGGGTAGCTATCGCTTTCGAAGCGAAACGAGGATACTCGCAACCCCACTGATGCATGCTCGTATCGAGTCTGTGTTCCTAACGGTGAGACGACTCGGTTCTGTGTCGGTGTTCCAAAGAAAAATCACCCCCGTCTGTGGAGACGTATCCGTGTGTGCTAAGGGGTTGAATCCTGCTTGTGTTGGTGAAAGGGTCGCTGGACAGTGGCGAGCTCTTGCTTAGACGGCTGATATTGGAACTAACGTAGAAACAGCTTGAATCAAAGACCTTTCCGCTCTTTGTGCGCGATTCTATTGCTGCGATTTCCCCTTTTAGCCTATTAAACCCTTGCGTATGCAGCGTCGAAATATTTTTTGTTTTAATTTTAGAAAATATTCATTCGTACTTATTTACGTACCTTAGATCTTATTATTGAACGTTTGATTATCGTCACAAATATAATTTTTAAGCAATTTATTCGCGAAGTAAAATTTCAGATTGCTTATGTTAGTTTCTTTAAAGAAGCAAAAAACATTCGTTTAACTCTGTATAAGCAGTCTCGTGATCTCGATGTTTGTGCTTTTAATTCTGACGAAAACCCAGTACCCCTCGTTTTATCCCCCAAGATATGCATGAGAGGGGTTCGGTTTCTTTGTAGTCGCCGATGACGTCAGAAATGGTCAATAAAGCAGCGTAACTTCTAAGTATTTATCTATCTGAACTACCCTCGGCCGTGTCGACTCTCGCCCCTTTTTACCTCTCGGTTTACTCTAACCCCATATTCCCCTTTCCGAATGATCTCGCTTACCGCTTTGAGTTCGATTGAGCCGCGTAAAACTCTCGATCGGCCGTTCGCATTTTTATGTTCGTACATTTTGAGGTCACTTGTTGCTCTTTAATTTCATATCTCGACCCCGGGTCGAATCCTGTTTCTCTTTTCGAAAAAACAGCTGTTTCCGCAAAAAGAAAATAGCTGCTGATCGATCGACCCGACGCAACAATTTGCGGGGATTCCTTTCTCAAATCCTCTATGGAAAAAACCTTTATACGGTCGAATACCTTCTATTAGGTACCTTCGTCATTCTATTATCGTCACTTGTAAAATAACGAATATTATTATCGAGTGCTCAATGAATTACGCAGTTTCGTTACAATTTCCACTACTGTTCGTCGCACAATTTTTGCTTCCCATTATGCAAACCACTTAGCTTGCTCTTTACCGAAGGTACCGTCCCTACATTTCAACTCACCCAACTCGGTATACACGCGTACACCAATTACCACCGTGAATAACTCCGACGATTAACAGCGCAATGCCGCGTACCAGTTTCGTCTCAAAGAAGCGAAGAAAAAAATACTGAAAATACGATGTACGCATACACACACGTATAATAGATCGATCAACGATAGAGCTACCGGTTTAAGTTACGCGCGCGTAACTGATTGGTAAAACTTTTCTCCTATTGACAGAAACAAGCGCGTGTCGGGCAAATGGGAGGGAGGAAAAAAGGAAAGCGCAACTGACGTTGCCAGCAGCGGTTTCTTTTTTCTTCTTTTCTTTTTTTTTTTTT